AATTAACAAGTCGGCCATAGCTTCGATCCTGAGATCGTCCTCGTCTGCCTTTCAGAAGCTTCAGAGTAGTGTAGTAGCAACAGTAAATAACTTTGAATGTTTACCACTCCCGGCTGCCCTTTCTATTCACGGCAAATCACTGGACCGACAAAATCGCTGACATTGTTTTCTTGTTTTGGTTACAGGTGTTTCAGCGGCGTCAAGACGGCTCAGTTGACTTCTACCGTGACTGGGTGAGCTACCGCCAGGGGTTCGGTGATCTGAACGGCGAGTTCTGGCTCGGCAATGACAACCTGCACCGACTCACCGCTCAGGGCGCGTACCGACTGCGCGTCGATCTTAAGGACTTCGAGAACAACTCTGCGTATGCCGAGTATGACATGTTTCGTGTTGCTGATGGGAGTGACAACTACCGGTTGACTGTGCAAGGCTTTTCGGGAACGGCTGGTAAGTGATGTTTTATTTTACGAACTGTTGTGAACAGGAAATGGGTTTGAACTAGGGAATCAGAGTATGATAATATCGTAATATCTGCTCTATTTTACCGATATTGTACACAGTAAGCTACTGCTGTGATATTCTACAGACTTTGTTTCGCAGGTCATGGGTGGACACTGCAGAAAAACGGTGCGATGAAATTGTAGCAGCCCTAAATACTCCAATTAAAATGGTTTCAGACGCGTACGTAAACACCTTGACGTTAGATTTATTAGAAGATCATTTCGATGGGTGTGGAAATGCTCACTAAAACAGTTATTGAAACAATTTTGACGTTAAAAAATAAAGGTCTTCAATGTCATGCAAATCACTATCTTCTATATATTTTTGCAGGTGATTCATTGTCTCGTCACAGTAACCTTCCTTTCACCACCAGAGACAGCGACGACTCGACCGCTTCTAACTGTGCTATAATTTACACTGGTGCTTGGTGGTACGACGAGTGTCATTCCTCCAATCTGAATGGCCTGTACCTCGGTGGACAGACGGATGTCTACGCCAAGGGCGTAGTTTGGCAAGATTGGAAGGGGTATTACTACTCGCTGAAACGTACTGAGATGAAAATGAAAGCAGCTAACAGTTAGTTTCATGGGCTTTGTATGTTGGTTGATTTGTTCTTGTCGAAACCCTTAAGTTAGTAACTTAGATGAAATTTCGTTCATCATACCAATAAGGCTGCGAGTCAGGTTTAGGCTGGATGCTCTCTCCGCAGTCATGCATTTTACTTTTTCCCTTACGCCTACAATATATTTCTTTATTTCCTTGTCTGTTTTCCCTTTTTTCTTTGCATTTATATTTCAATACAAAGACGATAACTTATAAATTTA